AACCCTAGCAAGAGACCGTACAAGTTGTATTTCATGTAACTGTAATTTGGTACTCTCCGCAGTGACCAGCAAGAATTACTGTTACATTACTATCATAGTTCATGAATGGCTTGTTTTCTTAATGCTTTAATTCTCACTGAATTATTTTGTCAGGAATATAATCTGATTTTGCTTTTAACAGAGCAGTAAGTCTTCTGATACCAGTAGCAATGAAATTTTGTAATAATTACATTCCAGTAAGACTGCATCTCTGCTGTACCTTACAGAGTTACTTCAGATGTAAAGCAAGTTATTGTCGACGCTCTCCTTCGCCTGGACTGGGTTTTCCCACCGATGTTGGTTGCAGTTCAGGGACCGCGCAGCCTGGGAATGCGTTGCAGCGTGGTCTCGGCCCCGGAGGCCTTGCTGCTCGGGAGAGCTGTTGGGCAGTGTCTGTTTGACAGTCTTTAACATGATTTCTACTAAGCTAGCTAATTAATTTTAGATCTGTATTTTTCTGTTTTTGTCAGTACACTTTACAGCTTCAGAAACAGTTCTAGCTGAAAATAATGCAAATATTCATATTAAAAGTTACTTCTTTTTCTGTAGTATAGCTGAGAAAGAAGAACTCTGATAACAGTCACTTGCCTTGTGAAATCCATGGCTCTTTTTATTTTTTTTTTTTTAACAGGAAAAGCTCTTGTCCAGATCTCTTCAAAGAGGTGAAGATCTTCAGTTTGATCAGGTAGGAGACGTGTCACTGCAGGCAGGTTTCATTGCGGGAAGGTGGCCTCTGTCTGCAGAACAGCGATTCCTCTGGTGTAAGGGCTTGGAACAGCCACGTCTTCGTCAGCGCCAGAAGATTCAGACCTGGGGTGTCAGACGTCGTGTTCCGTTGTAGGAGAGGGTAGTAGGGAACTGCTACATAGATTAGTTATTTGAGTGTGGCAGGGAAAGATGCTGAAATAAGGTAGGGGAAGAAAGAATTGATTTCTGTTGCTGTTACAAGGCTTTGTGTAGCCTCGACCCGTATCCCATATTGTTTCGGTGTTTGGGGTTCTGCTTTTATAAGCAAATAGTGTTAATTTCATTAACGTGGCTTTTGGGGACGGCTTTGTGATTCTATGGCAGAAGGCGTAGGGTCGATTCCAAGCGTTGCTGTGTCCTTTGCTGAGTGTGTAGTCGCGCTGTCAGGCTGTTCTGTTTCACTTACTGCAAGTGAACCGCACCTGGAATGACTCTCTGCTCCATTCATTCATGTTTCTTTTCTGTATTTCTGATTTTTCATAATGTGGTCATGTTTTTTGTCTCGTAACTAGTGTTCTTCTGGATAGGCTGGAAAGCTGGGCAGAGAGGAACCTGATGAGGTTCGACAAGGGCAAGTGCAGGGTCCTGCACCTGGGGAGGAACAACCCCAGGCACCAGTACAGGCTTGGGATGGACCTGCTGGAGAGCAGCTCTG